GACTGTCCATAGGGTTCAGGAATTTTGGTTTGGATGAACATCTCCCCTGGTTTCCCCCATGCCCCCCAGGAGCACAGAGCCCTAGTGCCCAAATTCTCCCAGGGGTATCCCCTAGTTGGGGGAAGGGGGTGTTACCGGCATCGACATCCCCAGGAGGCAAATGGGAACACTCCCCACTGTCAGAAAACATCGAACAAAACTTTATTGAACAGCTACTCTTCAGAGAGGTCCCCCAGAGGTGCCACGGATACAAAGAGAGTGAGAATAGAGCCTCCGCCCTCAGGGAAGCAGAGAGAAGAACAGCACGTGCGATGATCGTGTTCCAGATGCTGAGCGGGGATATTCAGCGGAGATTCTAAGAGTTTAGAGGAGGCGTCGCCTCCAAGAGGAGGGAAGAACAGAAAAGGTTTCGGGAGCATGTGGAGTGTGGCTTGAGGCTTGGGGGAGAGAAACACAGGACAGGCAGAAGGGCTGGGCTGTCTGGAGTGCTTGAGCACTGAGCTGGACAGCAGGCTCGTGTGCCCCATCCAGGCGCCCCGGGAGAGACCCCCAGCCAGTGATGAAAAAGCAACTAAAATGTCCCAGCCGAGGACTTAGTGAAACCCAGGCAGATGTTCTCCCAAATGTGATGGACAGACACTTGATTCTCCTCAGTTAGTTAAACCAGTCTCCACGGGGGCTCAGAACCAGTACTCGGAAGTGTTGATGTGAGGGCGAGACTGTAGGAGAGGGGTTGTCGAAGGGGTGTGAGGACTGGGTAGCCCTGGGCACCTGCTCCTGTTACCAGAGCAACAGTGCCCGAGACTCAGCTGTGCCTGCTATTAACACAGCATCAGTAGCATTAATCCCTGAGCCTAACGCGTCAGCGTCCTGGGGCTGCCACAACAAAGAACCACAAACGAGGGGCTTAAAACCACAGACACGTATTCTTTCGTGGTTCTGTGGCTGCAGGTCTGCAATCAAGGTGTGGGCAGGGGTCCCTCCCTCTGAAGGCTCCTGGGGACAGTCCTTCCCTGCCTCCTCCAGCTTGCAGTGGCCCCAGGCATCCCTTGGCTTGTGGCTGCATCCCTCCAATCTCTGTTTCTGCGACCACGTGGCTTCCTTCTGCATTTCAAATCCTCCTCTCCTCTCCTCTCCTAAGGACGGCTGTCATTTAGGTCCCACGTGGATAATCCAGGATGATCTCAAGATCCTTAACATCGGCCAACACCCTATTTCCAAATAAGGTCATATTCTGAGGTCTGGGTGGGCAGGAACTTGGGAGAAACAGTTCAAAGCACTATGGGCTTTGCTTTTACACAGTGTTACTGGGAGGAAAGTCAAGTCTCGGAGAAGTGGCTCACCCAAGTCATGGAGCCAGGAAATGGCGACACAGAGCTTCTTCTACCGCTGGCTCTCTACAAAGGACAAAGATGTCCATCCACTACAAATGACCTCAGCTGGAACATCCCTATTTCTCCCCCAGGTGAAATTTGAAATGTCAGATGAGACCACCCTGGCAGATTTACTGAAGCTGAACCTCCACAAATACGAGGACGAGGTCCGAAATATCGTTGACAAGGCTGTGAAAGAGTCTGGGATGGAAAAGGTATTTTTTTTTTTTTTTGTCGACAGCAAAATATGTTCTGTATGGGATGATGCTGAAGCAGGCCCACCAGCCCAGAGCCTATGAGCATCTCGTTTCATGTGGGGTCCGGCAGTTGCTTAACACAAAAACAAGGTTTGGTGGGCTTTCCCTTAACCAACCCACGAAGGAAATCTTGTAAAAAATTTCCAGACTATATTACTGGAGAAAGGATCCTCCTGGCTCCAGCTCTGTCTCCTGCATGTGATAGTATGCACATTGAAACACGCCCTGAACTCTCTCCTCTCCTGGAGCGCCCTTGTCTGTGATTTTGGAAAAGAGGCTGAAGGAGTCAAGGTGGGAGGACTGGCCATCAGGGTGGATGATGAGCCACTGTTTGGGACAGTCCCAGGACACAGGGAAACTCGAGAGGGTTCCTTCTGCAATTCAGATCTCTCTCCTCACCTGTTCGGTGAGTGTGAGTCTTCACATTTTGGCTTTCTTCCCTTTTTTTATTTTTTATTTTTTAAAGATTTTATTTATTTATTTGAGAGACAGAGAATGAGAGAGAGAGCACATGAGAGGGGGGAGGGTCAGAGGGAGAAGCAGACTCCCCGCTGAGCAGGGAGCCCGATGCGGGACTCGATCCTGGGACTCCAGGATCGTGACCTGAGCCGAAGGCAGTCGCTTAACCAACTGAGCCACCCAGGTGCCCC